TAATATATATATATATATATATATATATATATATAAAATGTTTAAGAAGTCTGTTTTTGAAAAATAGACTTAATTCGGTTTATATTCTCTAAAAAATAAGACTTATGTGAGTCTTTTGTAATTTTGCTTCTCACATGTGTATAATATGTATAAAACAAGACAAAATATTAAGAAAAATTTTTTTCCAGTGTATGCAGAGAATTGCATCACTGCAGTTGACTAATTAACCTGTGTTTTAAAGATTGTTTGGAGAGCTTGTATTCATTCTGAAGTCACACAGATTGTTTCATTATCCATGTGTAATTAATATAGCGTCAAAGCAGATGAAATATGTACATTGCTACGTCTTTCCTGCCAGTATAATTCTCATATCTCATAAACTTCTATTGTCTCTTTATAGTTTCAAGTAATTCTTCATTAGAAATCATCTCATTCAACCCAAAGCCCTCGGGACTGTTTTTTTGTCTACTTCTGACATGGAGTTTCTCTCTGTCGCTCATCGGCGAGAGCACCGCTGAGACTTATTGTGTTTCATAAGAGCCGTTATTTGGCTGGGACAATTTGCCTTTTGTAGAAATAATGAAAAAGGTTCCACTGAGTAAACAAAGTAATAAAACATTTATTAGCAGTGGAAGTGCTGTAAAGCACTACGCTGCGCTCGCGGCTCGCCGAGGACGTACATGGCCGGTGCTTCGCCATTCATGAAGAATTAAAAAGCCAAAGCGAAGAGAAGTTGCCTTTGTGCTCCACACCATCTCTGCACTTTATCTGTTTCGCATTTAGACCATCAGAGAGGTAGTGCTGATATACATTCGCTCTTGTCCAGTGTGATGATGCTATAAACAGCGGCCCTATTTTCACACTCTGTGGCATATGATCATGGGATGTTGGGGCGTATGTTTGCCCTCCTGCATAGTTCAACTTGAAGGATACACAAAGGAAACATGATGTTCACATCAAGCCAGCCAAGAGTGCTGTAAAGAAAAAAAAGCAATGCAGGCTTGTGGAACATGTCAAAAACCATCAGGAACAGTTCGATGAAATACCATAGCCTCTTATTGCAAAGCATAACATAGTTATTAAGATTTTTGCCATAATAAAACTTGATTGGTTCGAGGGGGGGAAAAAAACACACGTATCCAGTTCTGGTGGGGGGCTGAAGGAGGGGAGAGCCCAATAACTACAGTTTTAATGCTCCTAAGAGGAAATTGCTGGCAGTCCTTTGCTTGATACATCATTACGTCCCACGCACGAGCTCTGGCAGGATTCCTCGCCGCGTTTGGATCCGTGCCTGATTGTTTATCAGTGAAATTGGTTGTAGCAAGGTCAGGTGGGTTAACCCACGTGGTGGTCTGTTCGTGTTATGTGTAGCAGGCATGACTCCAAAGCAGACGCTTTGATTAGCTGGGCAGATATTCCATATCTCATTTGTTTCCTTCTTGGCCCGTAATTGCATTCTGGTTTTCAAATTATGTTTTGCCAGCGTGAGTCTACAAACAAGCAAGCTTAATAAAGTTAAGCACAACCATTGTGACATGTCAAAAATCATTTGGCTCATAAGCGAGCATTAAAAAGAGCCGCTTTTGTCTGTTTTCTTTCTCGGGTTACTCAAAGTGCATATGATTGCTTCATTTTCTGCAGGATTGTGGGACGTACCGCTATGAGACCTTTCATCACAAAGTACTGCTTTAGAAATGTTTTTCATTAGACGCACACACAGACGGAGTGATAAAAGGCCAGACGAATTAAGGAGGATGTGACATTTATGGTCAGAAGAACAATTTGGTCTCAGACTTCAAAGTTCCAGCGAACCGTCCATCTTCCTCAAGACGCGAAATGTGAAGTGGCTTCAAACCAATCCTAATATCTCTCTCTTTCTCTTTCTCATCTCTCTCTCTCCAGGGACCTGAGCGAGAATCAGATTCAGGCTGTTCCTCGTAAGGCTTTCCGAGGGATCACCGCCGTCAAGAACCTGTAAGTGTTCTTCCCTCATCTCTTCACTGGCATCGTGAGATTCGTTTGCATGAGGCCAAAAAAGCCGTCGGTAAACCGTACTTTCCCCTGAAGAAGCGAGGCATGGTGCGGTACTCCGTCAAACCGCAAACGAGGCCATCGTCCGCTGCATTTAACGAGTCTTGAGTCTTATTTCAAAGACAGATAACTGAAATTAAATATAATCATCTCTCTGGCTGGAAGAAGAAAATGTTCAAAAGCAATGTGCTAGGTGGCCTACATGTATGCCCCTCGAATCATTTGTCATAACAGTTAATAAGCTTAGCACTGATGAAAATTCAATTAATCAGTATGGTTCAATAAGATGGATATCTTCAGGATATTGCCAGTGAGTAATGTTCCACAGCCATTTGCAATAACAGTAATGGCTTCTGATAAATCTCTGTAACAGTTTCAGAAGCCGATCTCACTACAGTGGAGTATGGCAGAAGGGCTTGTTAATAGTGATTTTTAATGAATAAATGTGATTTTTTTAAAGCATAAACAAGGCCCTACAAATCTAAAAAAAAAACACCCAAACCTTTATGAACAGAGCAAGCACAGGGAGCTGGTAGCTCTAACACGCCTGCGACAATAAACATGGCCTTCAAAGAGGGCTGGATGATTTGAGCAATTAAATCTGCCCTCTAATGAATAAAGGACGCCAAGTTGAGGTCATCATTAATGGGGCGCTTTGTTTGCAGTCAGAGATCGGTTGTGGTATGTGGCTGTAGCGTTCGTGTGCATTCCCAGGCTCGAGCGTGTGTGAAGTTCTGGGCAGTTTCGTCGCAGTATCTGATACTGGCTTCGTTACAAAGACCGTTTTCAGATGAAGTCTTTCCCACCGTGGGCTGAGAACTGCAGGTCACGTCATGCTAGATATCTCTGAGAGGTATGGAAATATAGTTGACTATTGTTTGAAGATATAGTCATGCTTTTCAGCCGAAAAGAAAGAAGAAGAAAGGGGAACATGTGAAGAGGTGGGAGAGTTTGAGAAGCCCAATTATATATAGCAGTAGTGAGTGCTAAGCAAGTAGTCATTTAACAGATATTTTTATCCAAAGCAGCTTTAAGAATATTTACAACAGATTTAACAGCACAATGGCGGTAGCTCATGAGATTGAATGCTCAACCATTAACTTACAAGCCTACTGTACATCCGCCACTGTGCCACACCTGATCTGTATAATTTACAGTGTGTTCAGGGCAGGGTGGTCTTTTGGTTCGCTGTATTTCAGAATGACGCATGTGCATGAATGTTGACTAACACCTGCCCTGGTCAGATTGAGTTAACTGAATGTCAATACCAACTCTGATCTCACTGACCCCTGTCAAATGAGTTCCAGCATGCAGGAGTGTCGTCAATCATCTGCGCTGGTCAATGACTCTCTGCAAACACATAATATGTTATGTAGAACAGTGTTGGGGGTAACATTGCATATGCAGCAATGTGTGTCGTCAGATGACCTGATGGTAGTATGCTGATTGTAAAATTTACACTGTAATATTTATGCAATATAATATTTTTATTTTAATATTTTTTTAAATATAATTACGCTTTTATATATATTCTTTTAATTAAATACAGAGTTCTGGCATGAAACTCTAGATGGCGCAGTCCGATAGGTCTAACTCAATCTGACCTAATGACATCATTATCACATGGCACAGCTGATTGAGCTCGCTTCTCAACATTCAAATATATGACTAGTGCTTGCCGTAGCAGTTGCAGCTTGCTTCAGAAACACTCCAACTTCCCCAGCTCCACCTGTATAGATCTGCTACGAGGTGATTAATGTATGCTATATGGGGGTTATTTCATGTATATTGTCATGTACATGACCATGCCAATCCCTCCGAGAGTTGTCATGACAGAACTTTATTTATTTGTTTACTTGTTTGTTTTGTATTTGTTATTATTTAGTTGTTCAGTTGTAACTTAAAATAAATCAGAATGCCACAGTGGCAAATTAAATTATTTAAAATTTAAATTATTTTTTAAAGGGGTCATATGATGTTGCTAAAAAGGACATTATTTTGTGTATTTGGTGTAATGAAATGTGTTTATGCGGTTTAAGGTAAAAAAACACATTATTTTCCACATACTGTACATTATTGTTTCTCCTCTATGACCCGCCTTTCTGAAACGCGTCGATTTTTACAAAGCTCATCGGTCTGAAAAGCTAGGTGTGCTCCGATTGGCCAGCTATCCAGTGCGTTGTTATTGGCCGAATACCTCTTGCGTGTGACAGAAATGTTACGCCCCTTACCATATTGTGATGCCATGTCCTGGCCGGAGCGACGAGTCAAAAACATTAAAACCCATTATAAATTAGGCGTTTGTTGCATCCAGTGGGGACATAATTACGGATTATAATGACTTATACTGTCTTGTAACCATAAAACCATGTCTTAATTTGTGATCGGCGGGCTAGAGTGAGCGGAGGTCGGCTTGAGTGAGCGGCGGCGGGCGGTCTTGAGAATGGCGCGGCCGGCGGATTCGACGAAGGAGCGGCCGGCGGGCTTGCGGCAAACCCATGTGACGACCCCAGGCTGGGCTCCGCTTCGTCCACGGTGAAAGCCGATCCGGCGATCCACAGCGCAAAGTTGATGTATTTCCTCAGCGACCAGCACGGATCAGCTCCAGGCATGATGAAGCGGATATCGTCCTCTTTTGGAAGGCCAAACAAAGTAGTTTCGCTTTCACAGCGAAACACACAGTGCCTTCACGACATGGCGGCGGCGGCAACAACAATACTACAGCGAGAATAAAAGTTGCGCCTTCTTTCTTTGCGTGAACATTTGGGCGGCGTTATGCAAATCTTCCCACATCGTGACTTAGACATGTGGGGGCGTGTTAGAACGAGCCGTTTTAGGTAGGCGTGGTTGACTCTTAACTTTTATAAAGAATATCTCTTTGGGTTTGAGACTTTAGTCTTTGCAACTTTACAAATCTTCTTTATGCACCAAGAGCTTGTAACACTCCAAAGAGAAAGGAAAAATTTAAATTGCATCATATGACCCCTTTAAGTAACACACTATATACTATACACACTATATGACAAATTAAATTTTAATTTCTAAATTCACTTGCCATTTATTTCATTTGGAGTGCTATTTTTACATTAATTTAGACAAAATAGAATGGAATTAAATTTTTTGTTGCCATTTATTGTTATCGGCCATAACGTTGAAATATTTTTTTTGTCTGTATATTTATTGAAATTTGAGTGGTCAAAAATGTAACAGTTTGGTGCATGTAACATTTTGAGTACTGTATACACAGTATATACAAAATAAATTTAGCACGTTATTAGTCCCATTTTATAGATAATATTGTAATGCATTACTTTAAAATGTAACATTCCCCAACAGTTGCAAGCTTTCAAATCCCTTATACACATCCAGCATTTTTGTTCAACATGTTTTCCCCTGACGTTCTTACAGTGATGTCTGTGATGTTCGGCAGTGTTTGAGCGCTCATCACATCACTGTCATGCGCACCGTCACACTCTGATGGATGAATGATAGGTACAGGTAGGCAACACTCATTTCTTCAGGTAGGGCTTTTTAGAAGAAAAAAGGGCTAACAAGGATTGAGGGAGAAGGATGGATTTGTATGTCAGCAGCGCTGCCTGTTTCTCTCCCACCAACCTGCCTCTGCAACGAGTGTCAAGGTGACTCTTGATTTAATTGCTAAAATCATCCAGCCCTCGGTTTTTTAAAGGGAAGGAGTGGAAAAAATGGACAGGCAGTGTTCCAGGAATGAATTGATTTTCTCATAGGCTTTTCTACCTTAATGTCCTCTGTTTGAAAATGGCTATGCACGCTTTGAGGGCACGTTGAATCTTCGTCTCTTATATATCGTCCTCGCATCTCCACAATTTTACAGGCTACAGCATGCTGGAGTCAGCATCCGCCGTCAGCCAGCATCCTCCACCCTTTATAGAGGGGCCATCTGGATAATATGGTCAAGATGGTTCCTCCAGCTGACGAGAGTCTATGTTGCACCCTATTAAACCAGACACAATATCTCTGTCTGCGTTTATGGCTTTAGCTGTGCCCTCCTACTGTTCACCAGACATGCTACGCCGGCCATGTTAACCTCGAGAAGCATCGAGTGCGGGTGATGTTGTAGATTCCCTCATCATGTGCACTGCGAGTCCGAAAACATGCCTGATGAGCTCTATATCAACATGGCATGCTTGTGTCAGCGGGGTACAGATCCCATTAGAACAGGTACTGTATGAGCAGTGGATTCATGGCCTTACACGTATTCGTTCTGTTGACATTTGTTATTCACAGCGGATGGAGAGGCCGAATGGTGTCGGCACATGCAGGGTACACAATACTACATCACCTGAAGCCTAGGTGTAATTGAGAGAGCAGTGTGTCCTGTATGCTTACCCGGCGTCAGATACGTGGACACTTTGATTTTTGTCCCCTTGTGGGAGGCTCTCATCTGGGTGCTAATAAAAGCCTTTCTACTTCATGCTCATGTACCCAGAATGTCAGTCTGACTGTGCGTGGGTTTGAATTATGGCCGAGAGGACGAGGTGCGGTCACTGTCTGCTTTACAAGCTTCTGCGCCCAGCAGATGGGACTCTGCAGACGGCAGATCTCGGCTTTTGATGTGCACTGCTGGTGTTGAAACACACACCTCACGGTCCGTGCAAGATGGGCTGTGAGTGGCACTGATGCCAAGATAGCCAATCAAATGTTTTCCAGCTCTGGGAAACACTTTCTCAGGACACCCATCCACACTGAGACTGCTCTTCTGATCGATTAGGACAATATACTAGACAAAATGAGACAATATGAGACCAGATGAAATGAAACTATATAAGACAAAATGAGATAATGTGAACAGATGAATTAAGAAAATATAAGACAAGATGAAATGAGACAATATGAGACCAGACAAAAAGAAACAATGAGACAAAATGAGATAATAAGGACAGATGGATTGAGAATATATGAGA